CAGAGTGCAGGGTTTCTGAAGTGGCAGTGCCCAATTTGTCATCCTGGTTTAATAAGATTTTGATGGACTCATTGTCCGTTACTCTTTTACTTCTGCCATGGTAACGTGTCTCCGTTCAGCCCTATTAATGCCCTCTGTGACGAAAAGTCACACAATGGGATTGTATGACGATTGGCAGCTCCGGTCCGTGAAATTTGCTGTCGCTAAGGCAACGGCGGATAAACAGGAAATGTCAGAATTATCCAGTCATGTATTTCTGGATTGCATTGATGATATGCTGCATCATTGCAGGAATTGCCAACCCGGCACCAGGACTGCAGGCTCTTAGAGAACACAGCAGACCCAACTTGACTTATAATGCAAACGCAAAGAATAATAAAAGGCCCACTTCACTCAGAACACACTTGGAGAGTGGCAGCAGAGTGGGGAAAGCAAAGTTTAGAGAGATGCCTGAAATTTTGAATACCTTTTTGTACAAAGGCAAAACTACAAACCACAAAGTATTTAGGAGATCACAGAATGTTTATGACACAGAAGAAGACCATTTGGTCCATCATGCATGTACCAGCTAACAGTCATTTTCCATCCCTGTCAGTACTCAGACTGAGGTGAACTAACTCTGTACTCACTGAAAATCAAACTTGCATCTTTTCCTTGTTCTGTCAGGTTCAATTTTGACCTGATCCTTTTAAGAGGGTCACATATCAAATCATCCAAATAATGTAAATACCTTGAGTTCAGGGACAGACTAGCTGGGCCATCAAAACAGCCCCACACCCGTTCAAGCATAATTCACGACTACGCACCTCCCAGCACAGACTTTGCAGCATGATGTAATCCCCTGGGGGAGGACAAGAAAATAGCAGGGATAGCAAGAGAAAAAAATATGGAAAATTCCTTTCTGACCTCCTCCAGCTTTCATATATTCATGCCATTGTTATGTCCACCTATTTCTACCCCATAACAATGTCCAACTTCTCCCAGTCTCAGCTCATCTGCCACAGTAACCTTCATTCATATCTTTGTTAGCTGTGGACTTGACATTTTTAATAGACTCCTAACTGGTCTCCCACATCTGGTTTCTGTTAATTTAATGCTACTCAAAACTGTTCATATTTGATTTACAGCAAGGTCCTGTTCCCCCAACTTTTCAATGTGTGGTGACCTACATTGGCTCTTGATCAAGCAACATATTAATTTAAATATTTTATCTTTGTTACAAAATTCCATCATGGCCTCAGCCCTCCCTATCTGTGTCATCTTTTACACAATCCTTGATAAAAATTGGGCATCCCCAATTATAATAGTAATTGACATTTACACATTCACTTGCCTAGGTCCTAAACCTCTGTTTTGCTGTCCCTATACCTCTATGGCTCCCTTTCCTCTTTTGAGACATCCTTTCAATGCTGCTCTTTGATGAAGGCTTTGGCCGTCTGTACTGATATCTCTTTGTGTAGCTTGGCGGCATGCTTTGTTTTATAATGCTTCTGTGAAGTGTCTTGCAATATTGCCACTATATAAATGTAAGCTGTTGTTTCCTTAAAAGTACTACGAACAGCGCATGAATGTGCAAGAGTAGCGTTATTCAAAACAGTATTATTCCATTAACTAATTATGTTGGCAGAAGGAATCTTAACTGTTGAATGCGAGGTAAACAAAAGACTTGTTTATTGAAGCTATTAACGTTGGTTGTGAGGCCTGAAGTTGCGGATAATAGTTGCTCTGTTTTTCGGTTGGTGTGTGGGTAGAGAGTTTAATGTAGATTTAGTCTCAGACTGAGAAAGTATTTTAATGGAAGCAAATAGCATCGGTAATAAGTCATCTGCTGTTCCATCTCTTACATCTAGAATGCTTGCACAAATGTATTCATACTGCAATATACTTGAATCTTGTTTTATTCTTTATACAGTTGTGCAAATCATATTAAGACTTGTGCATGTTCGTTGAGTGATTCTGTTTAGATCTTTTTGAATTCTTAATATGTTTGCTTGCAGTGCTTGGAAACGCTGACTAACCAGTTGCATTTGTCACTCAACATGATGTTTAAATTAACTGAATAGAGAACTGATACTGTTTTAATTTAAGGTATAAGTTCACATTAAATGTTTAATGGGGCATATTACCATCTTTTCAGAAAAGAATGCTCAGATGTGGAGGTGATGGCTGTGTGGTATTATCACTAGACAATTAATCTAGAGACCCAGGTCATGTTCTGGGGACCTAGGTTCGAATCCTGCCAAGGCAGATGGTGGAATTTGAATTCAATAAAAATCTGGAATTAAGAATCTAATGATGACCATGAACCCATTGTTAATTGTTGGGGAAAAATCCATCTGGTTCACTAATGTCCTTTAGGGAAGTAAACTGCTGTCCTTGCCTGGCCTACATGTGACTCCAGACCCACAGTAATGTGGTTAACTCTGGGCAGTTGGGGATGGGCAATAAGTGATGCCCTCATCCTGTGAATGAATTAAAAAAAAAAATGGAGTTGCATGAATGAACTTTGCACCCTTTTGGTAACTTTGGTGGAACTGGAAGGAGAAACAGAGTTAGAGAGTGTGACAGGATGAAGGTCATAAAATAAAGTCCTAACCAAGTTGTGGCTTTGAGTTTCAATTTCTGAAGTATGTAGCATCTTTTTTTTATTGTTCTACAGGTTTTACCTTTTTATGTAACTGAACACATATATTGTCTTTTGAACAATGGACCATCTCCTCGTATCTGCAGATTTCAGAACACAGTCAGTAATACATGGCATTTCTCTGAATTTTAGAGGATTGTGCAGTATAATGCATGTGTGATATGCCTCGGACACTTCTTTATATTATGCACCCTGTGTTACTAGTCAGCATCAGGAGATGGATGTGCGTAGGTCAATATTAAAAGTATCTTGCAGGGTGTAATTACATTTTCACATGTATCTGATTTTGGAATATTAGCCCTGTTCATGATATCAACCAGTAACAGGCATTGCTACTAGAACACAACTCAGTGCAGTGAGATTATGTAAGCATTCAAACTCCTGCTGAGCAGTATGGAATTTATAGATGTAGACAGTTGTGAATTAAATCATATCAAAACAAAAACTGGTTGTCAATGTCACTTTTGCATTCAGCTTTCAGTTACGAACCTACACCTCCTCACAGCGGCTAAGTATTTATTGGCAGTTTTAATCCAAGTTACACCCAGCAGATGCTGCCAGTGCTTTCAGCCAGTTACTGTGTGTCTCTCCGGCATGAAGGTCCACAGCAAGTTTCATATTTATCTGAGGCATTGTGTGGTGAAGTTGAAAGAAGTTTGACTAATGGTGCTCACCACTTAAGTGAAAGGGATTGAATTGTATTAATTTACAGTGCAGTTTAAGGAGACTGCCCATTGGTCTGCCAGCAGCATGGCTGCAATTAACTCAGCACCAAGTGAACACATCTATCCAGAGATTGAATTGTTCGTCAAGGTAAGATTCTCACCACAAGCATGTTAATAAAATTGTGATTTCCGTGCATTTCAGTATGTCAAACGTATTTTTTTAGCTGCATCACTTTGGGTGTGTTATGTCAGACTCTATTTCATTTTGAACAATCTCTCTCTTTCAGTACATGCCGCAACAGTTGTGTTACTCTTTGCTTTGAAATGAAATAATTGCTGTTTGGAATGTTCTCTGAATTTAAGGAAGAAAATGCATTGCTTAGTAGTGAGGCAACGATTTAATATTAAAATACCGAAGTATTGGCTTTGTGCTATCTACATGTAGAAAACCTGACTGCCTCCTTGTCTTTCTGTTAGTTACTGTCTCATCTGTTTGTTAGTTTTCTGTGCAATACCTGACTATGACTCCTTTTTGGTTTGCATTATTGTTGGCTCCTCATTGTAATTTGATTTTTCTTTTGAGGTGCAACACTGACTGTTTGAGCTCTAATTAGTGCCAAAGCAGTGCAAGTCCACATATTGAAATTAGATATAACGCAGTGTGGAGCTGGAGGCCAAGCAGCATCAGAGGAGCAGGAAAGCTGACGTTTCGGGCCTAGACCCTTCTTCAGAAATGGGGGAGGGGAAGGGGGTTCTGAAATAAATAGGGAGAGAGGGGGAGGCGGTTAGAAGATGGATAGAGGAGAGGATAGGTGAAGAGGAGACAGACAGGTCAAAGAGGCGGGGATGGAGCCAGTAAAGGTGAGTGTAGGTGGGGAGTTAGGGAGGGGATAGGTCAGTCCAGGGAGAATGGACAGGTCAAGGGAGCGTGATGAGGCTAGTAGGTAGGAGATGGGGGTGGGGCTTGAGGTGGGAGAAGGGGACAGGTGGTAGGTAAATAAGAAATAAGATGGTCGATGAACAGGACTTGGTGCAAATTAGGATATCGGCTGCAGACTTCTGTTTGAAATAAAAGGAAAGATTTGCATTTATTATAACACCTTGCACTATCACAGAATGTCCCAAAGTGCTTTACAGCTGATCAACTGCTTTACAAGTTTAGTCATTGCTTTAATGTTGGAATTGCAACAGCAAGTTCACCCCCAGCAAGGTCCCTTAAGCAACAATGAGTTAATGACAAGATAATGTTGTTGTGATATAGGCTGAGGGATACCTATTGGTCAGGATATCATCTGAAGTTTCTGGATGGTGATACATGGAGATTGGCCTGGAATCAGAGCTGGTTTTCAACCATTCCATGATCCTTTTGTGAAATGGCTATTTCTTCTTCCGTGCATTGATCTTATTCTGCTGCACAATCGTTAACCATTCGTAATGTATAAAAAAAGTTGTCTTTGTAGTGGCACACAAATTCACTTTGACAGAAACATGCCCTGCCCAAAAAGGTTCCTGCATGGTAAGAAATTTCAAGCATTGGTTCAGACTTTTAGTAAGTTCTCGATTTTGTTGCAATCATTCATCTAACGAACAGCCATTCAAAAAAGGCAAGATGATGAGCAGTGAATGACTTTTGTCTATATTGTGTTGTACAGGCTGGAGGTGATGGGGAAAGCATTGGAAACTGCCCATTCTCGCAGCGGCTCTTTATGATCCTTTGGCTAAAAGGCGTGATATTTAATGTCACAACAGTTGACCTAAAGAGGTAAAAGTTCTACAAACCTAGATTGACCCTTGCTTTTGTTTTGCCTAATGGATTAAGAATAAAATGCTGTTAGAGATTAGTTGAAAATCCAAATTTGTTCCAGTGGCGATGTATTGAACCTCAGCCCCTTGGAAATGGTGTCATCTAAATTGATACATCATGGGATTAATGTTATCTCAGTTTAAAACACTTCTTTCACAGTAGAAGTAAAGCTGACCACCAGGTGTGGGTCTCAGAATATCACCTGTGTCCAATGGTGCAAATGAGCCCAGGGAAAGGTTCAATGAACACTAAAAACTATAGTATGCTAGGCAATGGTCTAGTGGTATTACCACTAGTCTATTAATCCAGAGACCTAAGCTATGTTCAGGGGACCCCAGTTCAAATCCCGCCACAGCAGATGGTGGAATTTGAATTCAATAAAAAAAATCTGGAATTAAGAGTCTGATAATGACCATGAATCCCATGTTGGTTGTTGGAAAAACTCATCTGGTTCACTAATGTTCTTGAACTGCCATCCTTACCTGGTCTGGCCTACATGTGACTCTAGACCCACAGCAATGTGAATGATTCTCAACTGTGCTCTGGGCAATTAAGAAAGGGCAATGAATGCTTCCCTAGTCAGCGATGCCTTCACTCCAGGAATGCATAAAAAATTTGTGCAGTTCTGGTTGCCTTGACATATGACAGGAAATGGAGGCAGTGAGGGAAGATTTACAAGGATAATACCAGAACTGTGTGGATAGGGAAAGGATTTTCAGTCTGTGTCTTTTATTGTTTTGAAAATAGTATACTAGCGGTGATCTCATTGAGGTCTTTAAAATTATGAAATGTTTTGTGAAGTAGATACACACAGAAATACTGCATCTTATGCAGAAGAGGTTATCAATACGAGATAGTCACCAAGAAATCCGAGCAGGAATTCAGAAGAAACATTTTCACCCAAAGATTGGTGAATTGTATAAGTCCTGCCCTTGTTTGTTGTACCAAAATGCAATACCTCGCATTTATCCCGATTGAACTCCATCTGCTATTTTTCAGCCTATTGACCCATTTGATCAAGATCCCTTTGTAATCTTAGAAAACCTTCACTGACTACAATGCCACCAATTTTGGTATCATCCGCAAACTTGCTGACCATGCCTTCTATATTATCATCCAAATCATTTATATAAATGACAACCAAAAGAGGACCCAGAACCAATCTTTGTGGAACACCGCTGGTGACAGGTCTCCAGTGCAAAAAACAACCCTCCACTACCACTCTCTATCTTCTGCAGTAAGCTAATTATGTATCCAATTGGCATTCATGGGATTCTCTGGCTACGCCAGGATTTATTGCCCAGTCCTTTTTGCCCAAAGGTAACCACATTGCTGTGGGACTGAAGTCAAATGTAGGCCAGATCAGGTAAGAATGGCAGATTTCCTTCTTGAGAGGATATTAATGAAATGGAAATATTTTTAAAGCAATAATTGCATGATCACTGTTAGAAGATTTTCATTCCAGATTTCTATTGAACTCAAATTGACCATCTGTATGTTACTCCCTCTTGTGCACAGCATGTGTTGCACTGATGGCATTATTCCTGTGAGGAACTTGAACAGTCTAATCACAGACAAATCACTTGTCACATCTCAGTCATTTTAGTATTAATGTAAATCTGCGTTATGTGTGGTCTACATGAGATTCATGTCATTTGAATAATTGGATTTTTTTTGCTGCAGAAATGGTTTGAATTTTAGGGGCAAGACCACACGTTATTGTATAATGATTGATTGATTGATTGATTTGATTTCTTGTCACATTTGCCTAAGTACAGTGAAAAGTGAGCAGTACAGGCAGATCATAGTAAGCAAGGACATACAGATCATAGGGTGAAGAAAACTTTTACAGAGTGAGACATATAGGTTACGCTGCACAGGAGGCACAGGAAGCAAGATCAACATTAACAAGATCAACATTATTTGAAATTAGAGAGTATACCCTACCGTCTTTCTGATCTTGACACTCACTCTTATCAGTTTCTCTTGCAGATTGAAGGCATCTATTTTGAAAGCTTGAGTTACATAAACAGAGATAAGTTGGCACTAGCATGCTTTTGTAGTACCTTGCTATATGGTAGCCTGCTTGCAAAGGATAATAGTGACATCTAGTGACTGGAATTTTTTAAAATCAAGTTATTTTGTGACTGGAATCTTGTTTAAATGTATAATTGTCCTTCAATTATTTCTCCACACTTTGCATTCATTCAACTTTAACTTTTTCCACCACCTTTTTAAAACTCAACATTTTTGAGGTTCTGGTCACCTGTCCTAATTTCTCTTCCTTTAACATTTCATTTGTAATTCTGTGAAAAGCTGTGGGTATTGTACAATGATAAAAACTTCATCGTTTTTGTGAATTACCATCAAACTTGGACAGTACCTTCCTCGAGCTCTCTTGTACCTAATGACATTTAGTTCCAGCAGTAATTATTTGTTACTAAAAATATAAAGGTGTAAAAGTTAAAAGCTGCTATAACCTCTTGCCTTGACTGTATCCCTACAGAAAGCCTGCCGACTTGCAAAATTTGGCACCGGGCACAAACCCTCCATTTCTGACCTTCAATGGAGAAGTCAAAACAGATGTTAACAAGATAGAAGAATTTCTGGAAGACAAATTGGTACCACCAAGGTCTGTTTCTGTAGGATTGTGCAGGCAATCAATAAAAGTGGCAGAATATTTAATAACATAGAACTGAATAATCAAGAAAGGTCCCTCAACCCGATTTGGTGGAACTTATTTATTACACATTAAGGCCCAAATTTTCAGATATGGGTCGAAATCCCTATTTTTGACCCAGATCGAACTACAAGTTGCCCACTTACATTTGGTGCAGTTTTTCAGTCATATATCTGGGCAAGGAGCCTTTGCATCCATAGCATTGCAGATGGTTGGGAGTCTACAACCATTGTCACAGTCTCAGCATATAAGTTAGACCATTTAGGACTGAGATGAAGAAACATTTCTTCATTCAAAGGGCAGTGAACCTCTGGAATTTGCTCCCAAAGAAAGCTGTGGAGGCCATGTCACTGAATATATTCAAGAAATATATAGATAAGTTTTAAGATCTTAAAGGCATCGGGGATATGGATAGAAAGAAGGAATGTGGCACTGTAATAGAGAATCAGTCATGATCAGATTGAATGGTAGACCAGGCTTGAAGGGCTGAAAGTTCTACTCCTGTTCCCAGTTTCCACATATCCACGTCTCTATGAGTCAAGGAATTCTTGCAACCAGTAATGGAGTGGATTAATGCTGAAACCATGCCCCTTTCTTCAGCAGTAAGCGTTGTATTCTGTGAATTAAATATCTTTAAGTGACTTTGACAGCTACCGAGAGAAGGTAGAGTGTAGGATAACTGAGCAGGTGAGTGGGTGGTGGGGTGCCAGGTATCTGAGAGGTACAGGTGCCAGGTAGTCAAGAAGATATGGCAGGTAGATGAGTGAGGGCTTAGGGTAAGTCAGGGGCAGGGTGGGGTCAGGTCAAGGGATTGACAAATCAGGTTGTGTCAGGGATGGTGTATGGCTAAGTGGGGGTGAGGAGTTGGGGGATGGTGGGGGGGCAGGTGTTGGGATGCCAGGGGAGAAGTGGGGAGTGGGTTTCAGTTGTGGGCTATGGGGTTGTGTTAATTCCTTGTTAGATCAGGAGACTGTGTTGTATCCGGGGTGCAAGGTCCAGGTGTAGGAATTTGGGTTTGGGGAGGAGACAGCAAAGGTTGGTTGGGGGAATGGGAATCAGAGTGGGGATGTCCTGATGGTGAATCAAGTCTGTGGTAGATCAGGATCTGTGTTGTATTTAGGGTTAGATCTAGATGGAGTATGGGGCTTGAGAGAAGGTTGTCAGGTATCTGCGGGAGATCTGAGGGAGAGGGAATGGTGTGATCCATTTTGGGGGATTGCAGGGATATCTGTGGGGGTTGGCAGTTTCAAGCAGAAGGTGGGGAGTGAGGGGCAGTTTGTAGTTATCCAAGATTTGGAGCAGCTTTTAATTCCTCTAATCTTCCCCAGGTAACTATTTCGGTAAATGAGTTAGAATCCTCCACAGTCTCTGACTCTACCTCGGGGTTGGAGAATTTTTCAGAGTGTTCCAGCCAAAGGGTAATTGCTTGTCGGACATTTCAGCTTTCCAGGCAATCCTCATGGAGTCAGCTGCAATTAAACTTCTGTCCAATCCTGTCATGTAACTCCAGTCTACACTTCAATAGCTTTCTGCCTATTGGAACACCTGGGTCTAATTGTATGAAACAAAGCAAACAACATTTTTATATAAAGTCCTAAAAGGGGCAAAGGTTTGCTTGACTAGGGGTATCCAGCCTGGTTTCTGCTCGCTTCAGCTCACAATGTTATACCTCTCAGTTGCTGGAGGTGCACGCTGCTAATGTCACTGAGAAAACAACGAGGGCTAACAACCTGTCTCCTCAATCAGTTAATGTGAAGGGTTGGGAAGAGAACAATGGAAAAAGAGGATGAATTTGAATCAAATGATCTATCGAAAAAGAAATACAGACAGGGAAAGAAAGATTGCGTAGCCAAGAGAGTTTGGTACAAGAAGGACAAGTAAGAGAAGAATTTAATAATGTATAATTTGAAGTTTGTTTCATTCATATGATGTGGGTGTTACTGGTAAGGCCAGCATTTATTGCCCATCCCTAACTGCCCTTGGACTGAATGGTTCACTCAGCCATTTCAGAGAGCAATTAAGAGTCAACCACATTGCTGTGGATCTGGAGTCACATGTAAGGATAGCAGTTTCCTTTTGTAAAGGGCATTAGTGAACCAGATGGGGTTTTTCCAATACGGTCATCATTAGATTTAGAATTTTTAAAAACTTTTCAGGCCATCACCAGAACATTACCTGGACTGCTGGATTAATAGTGAAGCGATAATACCAGTAGGCCATTCCCTCCCCTTAGAAATTTTGGAAGAGTTTATCACCTATAGGAATAAAAAGGCTTCTTTTACCACCACTAGAAATCCCAAAGAACCTCACAGCCAATGTACTTTTGAAATTAATTCACTGTTGTATTGTAGGATACACGGCAACATTTGAATAAGCCCCCACAAATAGCTGCATAATAAACTGATGAAACTTAATGGTTTAAGTTGTATGTTTTCTGGGTCAGACAGGTTCACGGATATTGCATTAACAATTATCACTTTGTTGAAAGTATACTTACACAGTTAAGAATGAGCTTTAGGAGATGACAAGAACTGCAGATGCTGGAGTCAGAGACAACACAATGTGGAGGGGAGGAACACAGCAGGCCAGGCAGCATCAGAAGAGTAGGAAGGTTGACGTTTTGGGTCGGGACTGTTCTGAAGAAGGGTCCCGACCCAAAATATTGACTTTTCTAGTCCTCTGATGCTGCCTGACCTGCTGTGTTCCTCCAGCTCCACGCTGTGTCGACTAAGAATGAGCTTTAGTTCTCCACAGCGCATCTAATCATTGTGTAAATCCAATAAGCTCTTAAAAATAGTGGAGAAGTTGAGGACAGGATGCCACATACAAAAGCAAATGGTAGAGAGTGGAATAATTCATGGTATATGTCTTAATCCCCTGAACTTGCTGGCTACTTCAAGCATTAATGGTAGTGTATGTCAGAAGCCCAGTATTACTTTTCCAGGAAGATTTAGTCTCATGAAATCCAGCAGTTTCTTACTGTGGTACAGATGCGCACACCCTGTCAAATTTAGAGCATCAGTTGCACTCACATTAGCGATGCTCTCTTTGACTTCGGAGCCCCAAAATAAAGAGGCAGTGACCAGCATTCTGGCTCCTCATTGCTGTCCAGTGACCCCTTTGCTGGAAGTTTATTGAGTGAATGGTTACGCATCTGTGTAAAATTCTTAACTGCTGAAATAAAAACGTTACCAAAAAGTTTTTGTTTTGAAGGAAATGAAAGGGCAACAATGTGTTTTTCCAGGTATCCAAAGCTTTCTGCCAGATATCCAGAATCAAATTCCGCAGGAAATGATGTGTTTGCCAAGTTCTCAGCATACATTAAAAATGCCCAGAAAGATGCAAATGAAAGTAAGTAAGGCGATTACAACCACAGGGATCAGGTATTGGAAACGTACTGCTTGTCACTCAATCCTTGTAAATAGGAGAATCAGGATGTGATGTTTGTAAAAGACATTTGGATAAGTACATGAATAAGAAATGTTTGGAGGGATATGAGTCAAGTGCAGGCAGGTGGGACTAGTTTAGTTTGGAGTTATGGTCGGCATGGACTGGTTGGACCGAAGGGTCTGTTTCTGTGCTGTATGACTCTATGACTCTATAAAGCCCTTTGTCTCCTCCTCCCCCATTAGTCTCTTTTCATTTGACTGCAGCTACTCGCATACAACCATTATTTCCTAATTTGATAAAGAAAACCAGTGAAGTAGACTTGCTGTGTGTTTTTTTTTTGTTCTGAAGGTGCTGGTGAATGGCACACATTTTCAGTACAGGTATCCACATCTCATACACTAATATTACAGGAACAGGAGTACATCATTCAACCTCAACAGTCTGCTTTGTTATTCTAACAAGGCTAATCTGCACCTGAATTCTACTTGCCTGTCATAACCCCACATCCTGTGACAGCTTCCCCTAACAAACATCTATCAATCTCTCTCTCTGTTCAAAACCCCAGTTGTCTCAGGATCGATACCCTTTTGGGGGAGACCTACCAGTTAGTCATGGCTTATGTTCAATGTAAAGAAAAATGCACATGCCCTTATGTTGTATCTTACACAATGCCTTTTAATTCCGACCTCAGGGTAGCACAGCCTCTGCACATACTTTCCAACTGTTGGACCAGCAATCTTCTTCTTCTCCTGGTATTCTTTTACATTAGGAAAAGGGTGTAGCAATAAGCAAAAGTGGGTGGAAGGATTTCTAATTTTGCAGTCTCCCCTGTTTATGTTCAAAGTTATATTGATCCAATAATCTAGCACCTGGCAATATATCTTCTGTCTAAAGATGCACAGTCTGTTGAATGCCACTGGATGATGAACCACATTGATGAATTGAATTGCTTCCACCCTTTTACACTCAGTACAAGGCATCAGTGTCCCAGGGTGGAGATCATTTTTATTGAGCTTCCTTCTAGTATATGACATCCCTACCCTTGCTGACTACTTCTTTGGAAAAACATCAACTGCTACATGGAGGATAGTAGGAACTGCCGATGCTGGAGTCTGAGATAACAAGGTGCAGAGCTGAATGAACACAGCAGGCCAGGCAGCATCAGAGGAGCAGGAAAGTTGACATTTCGGGTCTGGACCCTTCTTCAGAAATGGGGGAGGGGAAAGGGGCTCTGAAATAAATAGAGATGGGGGAGGCAATGATTAAAGGTGGATAGAGGAGCAGATAGGTGGAGAGAAGACGGACAGGTCAAGGAGGCGGGGATGGAGTCAGTAAAGGTGAGTGTAGGTAGGGAGTTGGGATGGGGGTTGGTCAGTAAGGAGGGAGGGACAGGTAGGTGGGAGGGAAGCCGGACAGGTCAAAGAGGCGGAGATGAGACGGGCTGGTCTTGGGATGAGGTCGGGGGTGGGGAGATTTTGAAGCTTGTGAAGTCCACATTGAGATCATTGGGCTGCAGGGTTTCTAGGCGGAATATGAGTGCTGTTCCTGCAGCCTTCAGGTGGCATCGTTGTGGCACTGGAGGAGACCCAGGATGGACATGTCATCCAAGGAGTGGGAGGGGGAGTTGAAGTGGTTCGCGACTGGGAGGTGTAGGTGTTCCACAAAGCGGTCTCCAAGCCTCTGCTTGGTTTCCCCAGTGTAGAGGAGGCCACATCGGGATGGCATTCTTGCAGGAAGGTGGGTGAGAGGAGGTGTATTCTAGGTATCTGTGGGGGTCGGTGGGCTTGAAATCGATATCAGTTTCCAGGTGGTTACCAGAGATTGAGACAGAGAGGTCCAGGAAGGAGAGAGAGACATCAGAGATGGTCTAGGTGATCTTAAGGTTGGGGTGGAAGGTGTTAGTAAAGCGGATGAACTGTTTGAGCTCCTCGTAGGAGCACGAGGCGACGCCATTACAATCATCGATGTAACAGAGGAAGAGGTGGGGCATAGGGCCAGGATAGCTTCGGAAGAGGGATTGTTCCACGTATCCTACAAAGAGGCAGGCATAGCTTGGGCCCATGCGGGTACCCATGGCTATCCCTTTTGTCTGTAGGAAGTGGGAGGAGTTGAAGGAGAAGCTGTTAAGGGTAAGGACGAGTTCAGTTAAGCGGATAAGGGTGTCAGTGGAGGGGGAATGGTCGGGCCTGCCGGACAGGAAGAAGTGGAGGGCTTTTAGGCCATCTGCATGGAGTCTTCAAGTATATAGGGACTGGACATCCATGGTGAAGATGAGGTATTGGGGACCAGGGAATCAGGAGTTTTGGAGGAGGTGGAGGGCATGGGTGGTGTCACGGACATAGGTGGGGAGTTCCTGAACTGGCGGGGAGAAAATGGAGTCGAGATAGGTGGAGATAAGTTCAGTGGGGCAGGAGCAGGTGGAGACAATGGGTCGACCAGGGCAGTCAGGTTTGTGGATTTTGGGAAGGAGATAGAAACGGGGGGTGCAGGGTTGGGGAACAATGAGGTTGGAGGCTGTGGGTGGGAGGTCTCCTGAGGTGATTAGGTTATGGATGGTCTGGGAGATGATGTTTTGGTGGTTAGGGGTGGGGTCATGATCAAGGGGGCGGTAGGAGGAGGTGTCGGAGAGTTGACACCTGGCCTCGGCGATGTAGAGGTCAGTGTGCCATACCATAACTGCGCCTCCCTTATCTGCAGGTTTTATTGGTGAGGTTGGGGTTGGAGCGGAGGGCTACATGTTCTGTTGGGGAGAGGTTGGAGTGGGTGAGAGGGGTGGAGAGGTTGAGGCGATTAATATTACAATGGCAGTTGGAGATGAAGAGGTCGAGGAAAGGTAGGAGGCCTTGGTGTGGTGTCCAGTAGGAGGGGGTGTGTTGGAGGTGGGAGAAGGGGTCAGTAGAGGGGGTTAGGCTCATGATTAAAGAAGTAAGCGCGGAGGCAGAGGCGGCGGAAAAACTGTTCGATATCCAGGTGTGAGCGGTATCCATTGATGTTTGGGTGGAGGGGGATAAAGGTGAGTCCTTTACTGAGGACTAACCGTTCTTCCTCAGTGAGGGGGAGATCTGGGGGGTTGGTGAACACTCGGCAGGGCTGGGGACTGGCATTTACTGTGGAGCTACATGGAACTTGTTTGTTCCTGTTTGATTCCACCTCATGGTTTCAGAGTATATGGGGTTTGTGGATAATGCCACCAAGTGGGTAAAGTTGATGGAGTTTACTGTTCTGTTTATCTCCAAGTAGAATCTTCCATTGCCCGTTGATGATATGAAACAGTAAGATGTTGGACCCATGGACTTTCAGCATCTTATTGGCTGGTGTCAGAAGACTATTGTCATGCAGAATTAGCTTTATTGTCACATGTACTCAAATAAGTACTGTTGCCAATTACGACGCCATCTTAGGTACAAAGGTACCTAGGTACAGATTCGCAAATACAAAAGTACAGAGGAGGAGATGGCAGAAAATAAGCAAGAAAAAATCAAAGGGAAGAAAAGATAATCAAGAATAAAGGTGATTAAGATTGCTTAAGTGAAAAATAATGAAGAAAAGAAAAATCAGAAACAAGGTAAAAAGCAATTCCTTTACATTCATTTCCAAGAGCTGGGCAAGCTCAATTATGAGCAAGGTTTCCCACTTACTACAATTAATTTCTTTTTCTTCTTTTCAGATGCTTACAGTTACTTTTCTCATGTTTATTCAGGTTTGGAAAAGGCTCTATTGAAAGCTCTGAAAAAGTTAGATGATTATTTAAACACACCTTTACCTGAAGAAATTGACGCCACTAGCACAGAGGAAGATATTTGCTCAAAAAGAAAATACCTAGATGGAGATTACTTGACTTTAGCAGATTGCAATCTCCTGCCAAAGCTTCACATTATCAAGGTTTGTTTCAATTCCTATAAATACTCGATGACTGTTGATTGGATGCATTATGATCATTACAGTCCCCAATGACACAGCACCATTTGTTCTTTTAGAAATAAATTCAGCTTAAAATCTTTAAATAGTGTAGCACACAATAAGATCATTCAATCCACTTCGTCTATGTCAGTTCTTTTGAAGAGAAATCTGGTTAATCCTACTCCTCTGGTCTTTCCTGATCTGCCTGTAAGGACTCCAGAACAAGAAGGGGGTAACCTTAAAATTATACCAGGAGTTCCATTCTCCCAGGTTTTCCATTTCTGTCCAATCTGTTCAGGTAATATGACCCCCTATAAAAGTGTTTCTCAAGTGTCTTCCTTTCTTTCCCAACACAGTATTCCACCCCATCCTTCATGTCTGATCCATTTCATATGCTTCTGCTCCCCCCTGCCCCGTCCCATCCCTGACAGAATGACAATAGGCTTCCATTTGTCCTCATTTTCCACCCCACCAGCCTCTGTATTCAAAGGTTCCTCCTTCACTATTTCTGTCACCTCCAGCAGAATCTCACTACCAAACACATCTTAGCATCCCGACAGTGCAGAAAGAGGCTATTCCACCCCTTGAATCTGCACCAACCCTCCAAAGATCATCTCACCCAGACCCCGCCTACTTCCCCCAATCCCATCCTGACCCCATAACCCTGTATTTACCGTGGCTAATCCATCTAGCCTGCACATCCCTGGACATTATGGACAATCTAGCATGGCGAATTCACCTAACTTGCATATCTTTGGACTGTGGGAGGAAACCAGAGCACCTGTCAGAAACACATGCAGACACAGGGAGAACGTGCAAGCTTCACACAGACAATTCCCAAGACTTGATTCGAACCCAGGTCCCTGGCACTGTGAGGTGGCAGTGCTAACCACTGAACCACTGTGCACCTCCCCTATCAGCATCCCAAAGTGACTGCTCTTTCTGTGAACTCCAGGTCTATTCCTCTATCATTCTGACACCATGTCACCTTTCTGTGGCACTTTGTGAGAGATGTAACACTTTTTCACCTCCTTTGTCCTCTTTATCCAAGGTGAAACAATAGTTAAGTTGTACTATTTTCAAAGTAGTCTACTGTATTTGCTGCTCACAATATTGCATCCCTCAAGTTGGAGATACCAAAACACAGAATTGGTGACTACATGGTGAAACATCTCCACTCAGTATGTGAACGTTACCTTAAGTTTCTAGTTATTTGCCATTTTAATTTACCACCTTGCCCTCATGCTCACATTCCTGTCCTAGGCTGCTGTAGTGTTCTAGTAATACTCAGCACAAGATGGAGGAACAGTTCCTCATTGTCCAATTAGACATTTTACATGTTCTTGCATCTTTCTGGGTGCAAAATTGAGTTCAATAACTTTAGTCCATGAACTCAGTCTCTCATTTTGATTTTTTTTTGCCATGTGCTGGTCTTGGTATTTTTCACATTTTCATTTCCAAATAGAGCTCTTCATTATTCTGCCATTCATACTTTATAAATATTTTATTTCTTTACTACAATAGCTCATGCATCCTTTGTCTTCTCTTCCATCACATCTTTGTCATTTTAATCATTTCTTGGCTCCTACATTACCCCAGATATTCCCTTTTGTGTTTCCTCTCCTCTCCCCCACCACCCACCCCCCACCTCCCCCATCAGATCACATTCATCACATTTCTATTTTCCTTCAGTTCTGAAGAACAGTCATATTTCAATTCAGAATGCTAGTTCTTATTCTACTCCTCCAAATGCTTTTGAGGCGGGTTGGGGGGTCAGTTGGAAGTTTTAAATCTGTGATTGATAGACTTTTGCTAGCTCAGAACATGAAATATTGGCAGAACACTGATATTAATTTGACTTGCCAATGCACTCAAAGCGAATGCAGAAAGGATTGGGAACCAAGGAGTGTAGAAACAGATCAGCCAATATCTAATCGAATAGTAGTACAGATGTGAAGGGCTGAATGGTCTGTTCCTAACCCCCTATTAATGCAGCAATATATAACTGTTATCAGTGTAGACTTGATGAAGTTGCTAAATGTCGGAATGTTTTGTGCTATGGGCTCAAATGTTTTGAGGAAGTGCTTTAAGATATATCTAGGCACATTTTAAACAGCACAGTTTAAGTCTGTAGAGCTGTCCCAGCAATGTGGGATGTAGCCTAGTTAAAAGGAATTCAATTCCCCTCATGACATTTATATTGTAACAGCAAATTTGTTCGTGTTATGTTAAGCTGCTTTGCCTGTATATCAAGAATATAAATCAAACAAATGTTTTGTCTTGTTTCCTTCATTTAGATTGTAGCACTGAAATACCGAAATTTTGAAATCCCAAAGGAAATGACTGGAATTTGGAGATACTTGAACAATGCGTATGAAAGAGAGGAATTTGTAAACACGTGCCCTGCTAATCGTGAGATTCAGATTGCATATTTAGATGTTGCAAAGAGAATGAAATAAGTCCATTATTGTAGCTCAGAATGTACATTTGAAGTTTTGTGCGTCAGAATACAGTTTGTTGCTACATAATCAATCAAAGTTCTTTAGTTTCTAAAATGTTGAACAGTGCTGCACCATTTTACCCATTATATTTAGAAGATAATTAGAGATGACCAACATGCAACAATATCGCCTAATACTAATGTTTGTTTGTTCATTTAATTGAAAAGGGGAACAGTTAAGAGAGATGTAATACTGGCAGAAATGCGAGTGAGAATTTGGAATATGTAGCATTACCCTAATCAAAATATGTCAGAGTAAACTTAGCATCTTAGGAACAGGACTAGGCCGTCTAACCCCACGTCCCATTATTGAATGAAAACATAGCTGATCGATGACCTAATTAACAAAAAAGTCTTGGTTTTAAAATTAAACATTAATCCTGTCCTGATGCACGTAGCCCATCAGTTCCCTGGAGCTACTCTGCCATTCAATAAAATCATGACTGATCATCTACATTGGCTATGCCTTCCCAGACTATGCACATATCCCCTGATTCCCTTAGTTTCCAAAACTCTGTCAATCTCTGATTTGCATATGTTAAATTTTGAATATACACAGATCTCTGCACTAGAGAATTCTGGTGGCAATGTCTTGGGAGTGCAAAGTGTCACAGTGGCAGAAACCGTTGACTATAGCAAGAGACATTTATCACAAAACAAGTGACTTATTCATGTTTGATGAGCGAGCAGTTCATGATACTCAGGGTTAGCAGGGAGTTTATGATTGATAGATTGAAGACAATTCTAATTGAAGACTATGGATCAGCAGTGAAACCTAACATTGCCTTCAACTCGTGTTCAAAAATGACCTTCTGAAACACATGACACCTTGATTGTCGGTAGTTTAGTTGTACCATGTTCTTTAAAGGACTAATTAAAGTCTTGTATCACTCAACAATCAGGAAGATAATCCTCCATATCGACCAGCAGGCCCAACCATGGCATTATTAAATCGATAGATTTTTCAAAGTAAAGAATATCACTCACTGTATATGCTCATTGGTAAATGTAATGCTTACCAAAGAAGGTCTATTATTTCATATCTATTTCATATCAAACTGTATGGAACTAATGCAAAACATATATTGTCCTTCTATGCCAAAATCAACAAAATGCAGGCAGCCTCATTCTCAAGCAAATCAAACATGTGCAGCTTTTCACACAATGAAGGAAGAGTGGAGGGCTGAGTCCTGGAAATAAATGATTATGTACTGCAGTTGTGGCTGATGATAGCTCTGACCCCCAGTCACTCCTCTACCATCACAGCTGACTGAACAGACACATAATCAACAGCTCATTGAAATAAAAGGGAATAGTTATAAACAGTAGTCTATTGTATGCCCCAGACCAAGTCTGCAAAATGGAATGTTTTGTATTTAGGTAACATTATGGAACAGAAAGAATTCATTATATCCACGATGGTAGGAACTGCCGATGCTGGAGAATCTGAGATAACAAGGTGTAGAGCTGGATGAACACAGCTGGCCAAGCAGCATCAGAGGAGCAGGAAAGCTGACGTTTCGGGTCTGG